GGGAAGGGCGAGGTTGTCTCAGGGCAAGGATCTCCCCCTGAGCTTGCGCAATGGTGGCCTGTAAAGTGACCACTTGCTGGGTGCGTGGGGTCGAGGGTGGAGGAGGCGGAGGGAGTATCCCACCGGGAAGAGGAATCCCAGACTGCGGGGTGCCCTATTGTGGGGGTAGGGGGACGAAGGCAGGGAGTAGTGGACGGAACCGTAATGCTGTGACCGGTGCAGGGAGCTGGGAAGTAGCACCGGAATGGGTCGATAAAACTGTCGGATCAGATGATGGTCTCTCGACCGCAGTACCTACGACAGCTGCAGAGACGGTAAGGGCAGCAAGGGCCAGAAAAACTGCTGCAACAGACGGGGTGGTCTGACCGGTAACAACACTCACCATTGTTGAGGGGGAGTGATGGGCCTGAGTCGTAGGGAAAGGAGAACCACCACATCTATTTCACCGGAGTCGTGGGGAACCGGTCGGTGAGTCGGTAAGAGATGGGGTGTGAGAATGGAGGGGGGGGGGATGGGGAGAGCCCTTGAGGCGGTTGACTTCAAAGGCAAGTGCATTGATTTGATCTTGCAGCAGTCCAAGCATACTGAGTTGCCTTTGGATGACCACAAGGACGACATGAATGTCCATGGTGTCCACGTGGGCCTAACCCTAAGCCACTGGTTGAACGCTCACTTGGGAGGTGGACTGCGTCGCGACGATCTCCTCAGATGAACTCCTTTCCATGGTCGGAAGGAGAAGGGAGGTAGGCCTCACGAGAGTGTGTGGGGAAAGGGGCCCACACGTTAGAGGAAAGAGACCGCAGGAGGGGAGTGGGTATATGTGAGTCGGCTCGCCCCGGATTTTACGGGTCGCGCGTGAGACGAAAGCGCCAAATCGCTCGAAGAGGGAGGATCCGTCCAGGTTCAGGTTGCCCGAAGGGAGGAATTGGAAAGGAGGGGGTTTATGAGAATCCTAATCCTAAGGAAAACCCTAGGAAAACTCTAACCGAAGTTTGGGTGGTCAGGGTAGGGTAGCGACGACCTAAATAAGAAAAAAAAATAGCAACCATTGTGGAATTTCGAGATAAAAATAAAAGAAAATAAATAATAAAAATAATTAGAGAAATAAGTAAAAAAAATGTAAATAGAAAAACAACATTTATTTTTTTGGAATTTTCGGCAACATTTCCTTACCCCCCATGGGGTCAAAAATGCGCCAAGAGGAAGGGGAGACCAAGAGAAGCACACTAAGTTTCAAAATGCCGCAAATGAGAATTTTCAGAAAATTAATAAATGAATAAATAAACAGATGAGGAGGTGGAGGAGAGTAAAGAGAAACTAAGTGTTGGATTTCTAAAAAATTTCGGCAGCATTTCGTTACCCCCATGCGGTCAAAGTGTGCCGACAAAAGATATGACTAAGTAAGATGGGAGAGGGTAGGGGCGGAAGAGAAAATTTCGGAAGCACTTCGTTACCCCCACGGGGTCAAAATGTGCGTCGATAACTGAAACAACTAAGTCCTAAACAGATATAGAGGTGCAGCAAAAAAAAATGAATTTTCCTAGGCTACCAGTCGGGCCGCCCGGGTCACCCTATTTTCCTGGGCCGACCGTGGAAGGATTAGAGAAGGTACCAGCCAAAACAAAAAAAAACAAATAACAAAGTCCGAAAAAAAATTACGTTATGCAGAAACATAAACAGAACAACTTTTACCTCAGCATCACATTGAAATTCTTTACCAAATTTTAAATAAAATTTTAAATTAAAAATAATTTTATTTTTTATTTCTTTTTGGTCGGGCAGGGCAAGTGGATCCGGGCCACCCTGATAGCCTAGGAATTTTCAGAATAAATAAACATAAAAATAAAAGAAATCAGAAAAATGAGAGAGAAGTAGGGGGAGAAGATAGTTCAGACTTCTAAAGAAAAGAGACAATTTAAATCACGAAAAAAGACAAAAGAAGAAAAAACAAAGAAAAATTTGAAGTTAGGGGTGAGGGGGAATGAAAAGGTGATGAAGAAAGAGAAAAATAGGTGAGAATGAGAAAAAGATTAAAGGGGGAGGTGGGGGGATGATTGGGTTGAAGTTGGGGGAGGGAAGGGGGAGAGGGGGGTGAGAGAATGCGAAAGAAAGGGATGAGAAAAGTGGAGAGAAGTGGAAGAGATTAGTAGAAAATGGTGAGTGGGGAGGGGGGGGAAGAAAAAAATGGTGGAAGATGAGTGAAGAGAGAGGAAAGAGGGGGAGGGGAGTAGAAGTAGAGGTAGAAGAGGTGATGGGATGGTGTAGGAGAGAGAGAGAGAGGGGGGGGGGGGGGAGAGTAGGTTAGTGGGGAGAGATGATACCAAACTCTTGGTTGGCCAAGAGCAACAGGGTCACCAAGATCCCCAGGATCTTGGCCTTCAAGGTGGTGGCAGCTTGCTGCTGCAGCAGAGAAAAGAAAATAATAATATTGAAATAATCAAGGGTTGGCAGAGATGCTGATCAGCCACCCTGATTGCACTTACGCGCAACCCCCTAGCCATGGGGGATCTTCACTGCTGCCAAAGTGCAGCTGCAACAGTAGGAGAGATCGTCATCATCATCATTATCATCTGGGTGGGTTGAGATCTTAATCAACCACCCTGATCTCCCTGTAGTGCAGCCCCCTACCCAGGG